TTTCGCACAAAATGAAAGGAAAAACTGCTGACTTTATTATTTTTCTTTCGATTTTTCATGCCAATGTATATTAGTGCTTGAAAATTGTGCATTTTGCCTAAAAGTTGAGTTGAATTTCATGAAATTTGTGTTCGCCTTGTTGTCAGAAATTCGCAAAAGTGTTGTGCAATCGAGGCGTTTGATTTAGCGACGCTTGCATCCTAAGTTAAATCGGAACTGGGCTGGTATTTAAGTTTGGTAAAAACGTTTGCGGACCGCAATGAATTTTCTCATGTTAAAGTGGCCCGCGACACTAAAAAGGTTGGACATGCCTGACCTAGTCGATACTAAGAAAACTCTCCTACGCGTTTCAAATGATTAATAATCATATTCTATGTTATGCAGTTTTTTTAAGTGATAACGTGGTATTTTATCGATGTTTATTTCTGTATTTGAAAGATCTCGTAATTCTCTAGTTTGTAATTTTGTTTTTGATAAATGAAAATAAAAAACATTCCCCCAAAATGAGCCGTAATGTTATTTTTCGGAAGAAAATTGAAATATGATCCTGTCTTATTTTCGGGAAAACACGGTCTATTTCTTTGAATTCTGATAAGATTACAAGACATTCTTATCGGTCAGTTTTCAAATTAGTGCGATTTAAATACTTTTTTTCTCATGAGCCCATCAAACTGATAATCTATACGGAATGTTTGGTTGGTATGTTTATCTGGCTCCCTCAAATAAAATTGTACTACATCAGCGGTTCTCAAACTTTTGGTGCTATGGAGCCCGTGAGGAAGTTGACTATTATTTACGGGGTCCCACAATAATTTTTATATAAGTTATCTTTTGGAACGTATGGTTAACATCTAGTGGTGGTGACATCCAGTGGGATTCAGCCGGTTCGCATCGGTTCTATAAAATTTTATGAGATCAGCGAACCGCTTAGCATTACTGGTTACTGTCAATGTTCTGTTTGTAACAGGACCGGCTGAAAAATATGACTTTTGTGAAGGAACCGACTGAAAAATTTGAATCCCACCACTGGTAACATTAATATTTGAATTAACGCCTAGTTGCCACATTTCCACGCTACCTTTGTCAAATTTTATATTGCTTCTTGGCAGTCACGAAACTAGCCCAATTCAGTATTTCAGTAAGAGAACAAATAGCCCACAGAGCCCCTCGGTTTCTTCACGGAGCCCTGGGTTTCCGTATGGATTACTCCGAAAACTTATGCACTATAGAAGGGATGGTCGGTCGATCGCGTCGAATGTTGAGTGAATTTGATAATTTACCCCAAAAATTGTCTTGAACCAGAAGCATGCAGCTCCTGCTGTGTGTTTTAAAGCAGCACGAATGCAGTACTGTACACGCGCAAAATACGATACGATATACACGTACGGTAGAGTATATTCGAGTCTGGATAGGTCCGATAGATAGTCTTACCATACGATTTACGACAGTCCCGATTTGTCCCGCCGTCTCGACAAGTGAGCCAAAAGTCCCGCTTTGGCGTTTAGCCATCCAGCATACACAAACATGTTCTCACTACTATTGTTTCTGTGTAGCGCAGCGCTAGCCTACTAACTGAAGGTGAATGCGTTTGTTTCCCGCTAACATTGTTAGAAAACGTATCGCATGTAAAACCAATACTAATTAGTCTAAATTCGATTTATGTGTACCGGTATCGTCAACGTCAATTCCTCTCTATTTTTCGAACTGAACCCGATATTTGAACAGAGAATATGCGCATGAACTCTTGATGACAATATGGTCAATGAAGACAGCCGGGATAGCTTTAAATGTAGGCCTATGTAGTAAAATCGGGAAATGTTAAAGTTACAAAATTACAGCTAAGGGGTCGTTGTCTTTAGAGACGTCCTACTTTGAAGTCACAAAAATATGTCAACCCTACCGATAGAGCATATTGTTACATAACAAATGCAAGTTTCGCCGCTGCCAAGGCTTAGAAATAAACTTGTCGAATATTGTGCAAATTGACTGCGAAACGATCCTACAATAACTTCTGCAGTATGCGAAAGTTATCGACATACTCCAAGAGTAGTGTGATAAATTTCATTCGCAGCGGTAGCAGTGCCATCAGAATGCCCAAGCGGGCGAAGATTCGGACTTGGAGAAAATGGTCAATACTGTACAATTACATAATCAAATGGAACATGAAAAAATACAAAATTCTGTGGCAATTTCATTGAAAATGCGTCCACAGAGCCGAGCTTATTGACAGCGGTGGAATTGTTTTATGCATGTGTGTAGTTATCGCATACTTATCACCGTTTTTCATGTGTGTGACCTTATTACCGAGCAGTCGATGGCGACCTATTTGGAAGATTTTAGTCATTTGCGGTCGTGAGCCGGTTGGCCACCCCTGCATTACAGGACAAGGCTTGGTACCAGCGCTACCTGATTATGGTGATTTTTGCTCAGAATTTATATCGCGGGTCGGAACAGATTCAAAACAGGCGGAGTATTCAGAATAAGCGGGAAAAATGCCTAACGCATTCAAATCAAGGCTACAAAGAGCTAAGTACAAATTTTAGTTTTTTAAACTCAGGCCGAAAAAACGATGATTTACCAATGAGAAATGTATCAAAATCTAGGAATAACTTACTTTTGTAAAAGAAATAGTCCCTTTGTCATAGTTGGAATCTAGAATCAGATATTCTTTTTCAACCAAGATTCCAATTTAAAAGTTTGTCAAACCAACCATCTCTGGTGTGACTTTTTTCAGACTCCAGAGCCCGTGTTGGTTTGCAAAGATTTAGAGCAGAGTTTCCCAAACTTTTTGAGCCGCGGACCCCTATTTGTTGATATCATTTTTTACGGACCCCCATCCTATACCAATTTATGTGCGTAACTAAGGAGGGAGGATAATGTTTCATTTGGATTAGAACACAACAAAACAAACATGTGACGGATCAATTTCTGACAAGCAAACTTGTAGACCCAACTCTACGAAAGTGTACCAATTTAATTGTGTATTCTTGGATAGTCTCTCACAATTAACTTAACTGGGGTTCACGCCTCTTTCTTGCATCAACGGGGCCCAGGTGACCATGGCAAAGTCGCACAAGTTCTGGACTGGTGATAACGCTTGTCGCTTACAATCAATTATTACCGACGACGTAGCTCTGTGACAGAGGTCTACCTCACAGACGATGAAAGCAACGATCGTCTACGTTTACAACAACTTGATCACTCACATTGTTAAGGTCTCGTAACAATTACCATTTGCGATTGCGTTAACTTACGACTTTATCTTGTTTATGAATGTCTAAGTAACAGTGGATATACGTTAAATGTATATATATATTTTAGACCAGCGCTTTCCAACCTTTTTTGGTCGCGACTATTTTCTCACCGGCAAAAACTTTTGCGGACTCTACTCTGCGCGAAGAAGTGATAAAACCAAACACAACAGAATTTTAAAATAATAAATTCGCCGCAATCACGCGTTTGTTAAAAGAGCCGACTTTTTTAGTGTATAAATAGTCTTTTCTGTCGCACAATATTCAATCCATGACAACGACGAAAATTTAAAATGTCTTTCTGTTTCAATTTAATTGTGGTCATGGTCACTCGCGGTTGCGTAGACTTATGACAAGTTACTTGCCACGGCAATCTGCGAACGTAATAATGTGAGAATATATTGACCGATTATATTTAGTTTTGATACATATTTTTTGCGATCTTGCGAATTTGTTATCGCCGCTAGAAAAATCCTACTATCTGCTATAAATTTCAAGAAAGTACAACTTGATTTAGTACTTATTAAAAAATATAATTAAAGTATATTAGTAAATCAGAAAAAAAATTTTCATCGCCTTGATTTAAATATTTATTCAATTATGATCATTTTAATCTGTGGTTGTGTTGACCATAAAAAGGCAATATTACTCAGAAAATATCATGACAATCCGTGGACACAGAAATGCGTGGTAAGGTACCCGATTACATTTTGTTTTGATTCGTATCTTTGTGAATTCGACAAATCTTAGCTGTTTTTACAATACTTCGGGCTCCGGTACTGTACGTACCAATTCGGAGGCAATAAAGCACAAAGAATCCTGTAAGGGAAAATGCCCTAATACGTATACTCCGGTAGCACCCAAAATTTTGCGATTTGCAATGTCTAAAAAACCTTCTTAATCGATCGCGGACCATCATAAAACGAAACTTATGGTGTTCTCCGTTTTATTTTTAGGATTTTGTATTGCCTGCTTCTCAATTAGAAAATTTAGATTGCCACCTACCAGGAAAAAATTATTCCCCGTTGTTCGTGCTCGCGAGAAACACCACTTAGGTATCTATCCACGAGTGTGCCGACTCGCGTTTTCGTCGGAAATCCGCAAGCGAGTTGTGAAATCTAATCGTTTAAGCGACGCGCAAGTGACCTGTCGCGTCACCTCTTACCAAATTTTTGAATAGTAAATTGCTATTCTAATAGTTGAATATGCCCAGCCCTACTCAGTATCCAGTAAACATTCATTCGATCAATGTTATGTGAATAAACTTGCTTTTTATGTTTCATGTAATTTCTAACGTAAATCGTAACTTGGCCGATGGTTAAGTTTAACAAAAACGTTTGCGGCCCGCAGTGAATTTATGGCTCGTTGCGGACTCATTCAAACGCTCTGCGGACTCGGGTTGGGAAACACAGTTTTAGACTCTCAATATCTCTGCGGACCCCCTGTGTAGTCGTCACGGACCCACAGGGGTCCGCGGACCCCAGTTTGGGTAACCCTGATGTAGAGAATAGTTCTGAAGATTGTCAAGCATACTTAATATACTTTTACTTGCTTTTAGAACAGTGGTTCTCAAGCTTTTACTGACCTCTGACCTTTTTTAGAGTGGAGAACAATGGCAAATGCGCCGAGGAGTATTTTATAAAGTGGCTCAACATCCTTTGTAGCGTAACATGCAAAACAGACATGGGCAATCTCTTAAACAAGCAATGGTAGCGCTATAAACGCTCGCTCAAAAAGTTTAGTACGCCACAGGTTGAGAACCATTGTTCTAGGATATATATCATAAGTTGGAATAGATTCGAAACTCACAAAATATGGTCCAAAATGCCAATAATATCATACATGATAGAACAAAAAAGATAATGAGCAACTGCATAATATAAAAAAGAAATAATGTTTTGCAGACGAGCAGTATTGTGCATGGATTTCAAAATATAAATTAGAAGCAATGACCAGGTAAGCCGTAAAAATCAGAAATGAGGAAAATGTACTTTTCAAACTCAAAATTTCAAGTTTGGAATCTGAGTTCAATTTTTTACCAAAACAAAATAGGTGTAAACAAAATGTTCAGAAATAGTGTCAGTTACACATCGCTAGATATAAGTGGTTGACTTGTACTTGGCCTTGTTCAGATACTGAATTCACTCAAAGAAATAGGTATCAAAATTTTTGATAAACCAACTCCGAACAAAGGTCTAGCAAGGAGATACACTTCTACCGAAGGCACTACTGTTTGTCTTTCAGTTGTACAATTGTTTCAATACATGCAAAAAATTACGAGAAATACCCCCTTAATTAATTACCCACCGTTTCAAAATCAACAAATGACCATATGTATGTAGCTATGAATTTACGTTTCACAAACGCGAATATAAGATATCCATTCCCATTATGTACCAGATAGGAACCGCCACCAATGAAAAGACTTATGAATTATTAAAAAGTCCAGAATATTAATTCTGGCAGTATACGAATATCAGAAAATTCTTGATTTAATACAATAGTTTGTCAAATGAATTCTAAATGCATTTCATTTGAATGCAGGTGTTTTTTTTCATTATTGATAAAACAAGCCTCTTCAATCACCAATAAAAAGTATTAAAAAGATCATGGTTTTTATCAAATTAACCTGGCAGTATACAAAATTTCAAGAACGTTTCCTTCTTCTATTCAATCACACATTCTACATATATTTCTTCTCATACGAATGCAGGCCATGTACCCCTCCTTCCACCTGAGCTGACGTTGATCTCCGTTCAAATTTCAATTCTCCGCTGTACATCATGGAGCGTAAAAGAGAGAGGCTGCGACTTCCGATATCCTGTAAAAGTTGCCATAAATAATCTCTCAGTACGCTACAGGTTTCTTAAAAACGGCCCTTGTTCCCTTGAGGGGACCACAGAGCGGTTCCCTACAGACAATAGGCAAAGGCCCGAAGTGCATATATCATTCATGTTCTAAAAATTACGCACCTTGTGGCGATTTCCCGTTTACATTAGTTGTGAGGATAGCCGTACCGGTAGTCTACTGTGGCTGAATGTATAACCTGTCCATATATTTGAGCATTGCTCTCTTGTTGAAAGGTTAATAGGCAGCCAATGGGGGGTTTGGGTGTCGCCATCTTATCGGGCGGCACACGCTCAGTTTCTAGTAGTACCGAATTTACTTTTTTGACTCGAATTTCTTTTTGTAGGCTACCGAATCGTAAAAGTATCAAGTCAGTCGACTACAGAGGTATGAATGTATTTACACACTTATGAAACCCTAGAAATATTAAATATAGACCAATAGGACTGAAAGAAAATAGAATAGCCTTCCTTAAGACTTCTTCAACCCTTGAGAACTGAAAATTTGAAACTAGTTGCGGAGAAAACAACATGCCAATAGGAACAATAATAATTCAGCAGAGCGTTCTATTTTGTGTCTAATAATAATAACAAACCTGGCAGCCATGTTGTATCCCTGCCATCAAGTATGGAATGAACACGTGAACCGAGCCTTTGTCTTGAACCGCACCTGATACTCCCTAGAAAATAAATAATGCTTTGGTGAATTCTAATCATTTTTGTTTTTTTATACCGAGACTAATATAGAAATATATTTGTGGTTAATGGTTATATTAGTTAACATCAAACCCATGAATCTGAAATAAATAACTGGTTAACTATTCCCATATCCAGCTAACGCGAGAGTTGCACTATAATGCGACACTAACAATACAATTTGAGTCAGTATGTAGCAAGACTTTCAAATTACGTAGAATATATTGCAAATCTTTATTTTGTTTTGAGTTCATAATAACCTACAATGTGGTGCACTATTAAAAACTGAATTTCCGTAACAATATATTTAAGAAAAGATGTGAAGACACTGGCATCTTTAACTACTCAAAATATGCACGGTAGTTCAATATAAAAGTGATTTCTCTCCCTATTTACAGAGAACAACGGTATAGCAAAACACTCCCAAGGTCGAATCTCATGTCCCAAAATCACTATTAAACCTCACCTGGGCAACTTTAACTTTGTCTTTTTCACTGAAATATCTGGAACTGCTGGACTGGTGTTGTTCCATGGCATCTAAGGAACCCATCCCACGATACTTCTTCAACCTGATGCCATCTTGGTAGAAATATTCACCTGCAATAGGAAAATGTTTTAGTTCAGTGGGGATGACTAGGTTTTGAATTTATCCCGGGGTGGGAGCATAAACCGGCTCGATGACATGGCAAACCACAGCCTGTTATTCGGCTACAAGTTCATGTTGGGTATGAAAATAGTTGACCTACTAATTCTTTCAGATGTATGGACCTGATGATGAGGAAAGTGCAAACCACCTCACGACGATGAGGATTCCAGCAATCCTCATGCATATATTCAGCTTCAATGAGATACAAACCTCCTCATCTTTTGGAGTTTCAGTAGCTTTCGCTAATTCAGTATGCAAGGACTTGATGGTGAAGGAAGCTGTGACCGACCAGCGGCTACATGAACCATCCTACGGCGGCATACAAACCCACACAAGGTAATCAGAGGTGTGGTGGCGAGCGTAATCGTAATGCTTAGCACTATGTGCCGAGCCATAGTTTCAGTAGTTCTTGTTATTCAGGCAATCGATAGTAACTTTACTAAATGAGCATCAACTTCTTCTGTGCGAGTGCGCATAATCTTGATTTGAGCAGTTTTACGTATAAAATTCCTATCACCACATAAGCTCGATTTGAGCAATTCTGACAAATTTAACCAATTTTACTAGCCTGGTGATTCAGTTGTAGCAGCGAGTAATGATCCCATCATCACAGTAGAAGCCCCAAGTGCGAGTGCTTTAGTGATGTGGCCGACATTTTGAATTCCTCCATCAGCAATGACTGGAACTCCAAACCGACGTGCATATTCGGATACTTTGTAAACAGCTGTGGCCTGTTAATAGAAAAAACTAGATTAAGAGTTGTGTAGGAATTGTTTCAGAATGAAAGAGTTTGGATTGTGTAGCTCCTTATATATGAATAGCTGCTATTGTGCTTCATAGCAGGGTTGTGCAACCTTTGATACAGAAGGGACAGATACAAATAGCCGAGTGAAACCGGGAACCTCTCCTTTATTTAACATAGGTTTTCTAGTAGTTGCAGGCATAAAAATTTTGGTTATTGATCTTAGGACAAATCGCACACCATTCAAAATTGGCAGATCGCCTGCATTTTTCCTTGGGGGTCGCAGGTTGCAATTAAAGGCTAAAAATTGCTGCAAAGTCTGAAAAACTAACGACCAATAAACACAGAACCATAGGCTCTGCGTACTGCCAGACAAAATCGATCAAATAATATTATATTCTAAAATGAAGAATCATCTGATGTTGATATTAATTTTTGCAAACGTCAATCAGTTTCTGTAAGCGACAGTTGTTGAAAAAGAATGAAGGTTTTACCATCTAAACCAGTCCAGAAGTCCAAAACACTCCTACAAATTTTTGCAATAGTTATGTATAGAAGAAAGGAGAAACGCCCATAGAAATTAAAACCACTCTAATATGAGCACCCCTCACCTGTGGCCTTCCTACTGCCATAACTTCTTGTGTTATACAGATTGACCCCGATCCCATCCCAACTCTCAGAGCATCAATGCCAGCATCGATAAGATTCTTTGCTTGAGAAGCTGTGACTACATTTCCCCCGATAACTTGAAGACCTGTTACAGAGACAAAGACAAAAGATAATTACACACTCCCTATATGAAGAGCTTCAATATTACTTGTCCTTATTTCTATGGCTTGTATCTTAATAACCTAATTTGTTGTTGTTTTAGGACCTCACTTTCAGCCTATTTTTAATTTTGTCACAATTTTCACTGTGAAGATAAATTTCAATGTTTGACTAATGCTCTTAAATTGGACATTGCTATATTTTAAGGGCATTGTAGATGTTTATTTCTATATCGCTCTTTGCCAAACTGATTTTGTGGGAACTTTTATATTATTTGGTTTTATATATTCTATATATGTAACATATTCAGTGATGAAATTTCGCAATTTCAATGAGGTTTTCCAAGTGACTCCCCAGGGGCCACGATGCTTTAGATGGCGCAATACGTGACAAATACATTAATATGTCGTCCATTAATTCTTTGACTGTGAATTCTTCTTGTTTTGCTTTCTGGTTGTTAACTTTATACTATTTTAACATGTATGAAATAGCTGATGTAAACCCGTTAAAATCGAAACATTTTTTTTGAACAGGAGGAGTCTATATGTGACGAACAGCGATACAGACTATTCAAGAAAGTAAATTTTTCCAAATTGCACAATATCAATGAAAACAAGCTGAACTGGAAAAACATAGCTCTGCTTCATACAATTGAACAATTGTCATTAAGCGTGAAGATATACTAACTCGGATATTTATCCTTGATATATTTGATCATCTGTATCTGAAATATGGAGTTTCCTTGGGAAGAGTCTAAGATGACAACATCAACCCCTGCATCGACAAGAGCATCAAGTCTGAAAAAAAATAAAACTGTTCGAGATTTTTTATTTATTTTAGTCAAAGCTAAACACGTATTCCGCTTTAAAACAACGACATAGTGTTTAGCGAAGTAGATGGAGCTACTATTTATTAGAAAGACCGAAAACTTTCTGGTTCAAATTTTTCATTTATTGCACCCATGGTGAGGTGGTGGTTATGGGATTATAAATCGAGATGTGTGACCTGCAATGTTATTAAGTTTAACGCTGCTTTAACCGGTAAGCCATCACTCTCCCCAAGAAAAAAAAAGCTCCAGGCTATGGCCTAGCAGTGGCCCATGAACCACTGCTGAACATAGATACTTTGATGTGAGCCCCATTCTATTGAAAATTGCTAGTTTTATTTGTGTCACAATAGTTCATTTTGATTGTGGCAGCAATTAATCATGATGCTGTTCTCTGCTACTGAGTGGTAATTTTCATTGTGATTATTAACATTAAAATGACCATTTCTTGCGGAGAGATTTTTTTGTTTTAGTTTTTCCTTCACATAACAAAGTTAATGGGCGGCAGAAAGAAAGAGAATCACTGGATTAAAGTCTAAAAACGTAAGAAATTTAAAATTCCATTTTTTATCAGGAGTTTCTATAATCTCACTTAGAACAAGGCCCTAGGCAAGCATTCACAGATATGTAGAAAGTTGAATTTATCCGTACAGAATCTAAAAATATTATGGCCATGTACGACACCTCCATTTATTTTACCAGAAATGAGGGTAATTTTTGTATGTTTCTCTTAAATAATCCTTAATTAAGATTATATTCCACATTTGACATCTGAAAATTTGTTTTGATAGTGTCTCGGTAATATAAGGTTGTATGAAGCAAACGAATTCCGCTGATTTACACTCCGTACCTGTCTTTATCCTCATCTCTCGTAGAAATAGCAGCTCCGCATAAAAGTTGTTTTTGAGAATCTTTACTGGCGAATGGATAATTACGATTTTTCTTCAAATCGGTTCGAGCAATTAATGATATTAGCTCGTTTTCTTCATTTATAATTGGAAGTTTGCCTGAAAAAATATAAAACAGTATAAAAAACGGTATTAAATTAAAATACCCATTCTAGAATTGAAAGATTATAACAAAATCCCAGTTCTTTCAAAAGAATACCAGTTTTGCTGCAGTAAATATCAATCTTTCTTGATTTGTTGGCTCCCTTTCAAATACTCTCAAAATTTGTGGCTCTCGTCCGCTATTCTATAGAAATACAGAACTTTTCTTTCATACATTTCCTTCATTAATTTATGCGCCACATTTGAAAAGTCAACAAACAATGAAATAAACAAATCTGTCAATTTATTTTTCCTAAATGCAGTCTTTGCAAATATGAAAAACTTTTCTTGTGGCTCCTTTAGAGGGGAAACTCAGGTAAATAATAAAATTACCGTATATAAAAAAACGAAACTATACCAACAAACTATCAATTGGATATTACCTCCCTCTATGCTTTGCGATGATAAATGCATATGTATGGGTGTAATGCAAGTGTAAAGATGACTATTCTAAGAGATTCAAGTCCTACCATCACTACTAATGTATTTTAATAATGTTTCATCTAACAGAGGCCATACTACCACCAACTGATAGATGGAAATGCTTGTCTGAAGAATTCTGGCATGGTCAGATAAAAAGTTACAGGAACACATTAGTGCTGACAATGACATACAATATATCAAGAACCAACAAAACTGTTATACCTTTTTTACTTTGTGATAAAATGCCATTGGCTTCTTCCAGAGTGACACCCTGATTCGCTGTGATCAGATCTTCTCTTGCAGTCATAACATTTTCTAATGGTGTATCATAATCACCCGGACGCAAAAAATCAACGTCGCGAGACGTCACAAGTCCTAGCAGCTTTCCATGTGGAGACCCAGTGTCTGTTATGGGAATTCCAGAGAAACCGTAAGTCATTTTTACATCGTGAACATCACGGACAGTAGCTTTTGGTCCTAAAGTCACAGGCCTCATTATAAATCCTTGTTTATATTTTTTGACTCTGCGAACTTGTTCAGCCTGGTACTGTGGGGTGCAGTTATGATGTATGAACCCAATTCCACCCATTAAAGCCATCGCAATTGCCATATTTGCCTCAGTGACTGTGTCCATAGGGGAAGAAAGAAGAGGTGTTTTCAACGTCAAAGTTTTTGTTAGCGCAGATGTTAAATCAACATCAGTAGAAACAAACTCAATGTATCCAGGTAAAATAAGAAAGTCATTATATGTTAGGCCATCTCCCGTATTTAAAAGCTGTGAAGCCGTCAATCCATCCTCTGGAACGTAGCTTGTTTCTCCGCTGATAAGATACTCAGCCATTTTATTAGAGTCAGTATTTTCCAGGTTTATGCTATGAGTATCTGTATACATGTATTTAAATACTACTGTACTAGGAAAACAAAATAATTATTATTTGAGAATCACAATGCATCTACTACTGTACCGGTACATTCATTGAAACGACATGATGATGGAGGAAGCCGTAACCGACCAGCGGTTACGTGAAGGAGTCCAGCAATCCTCCCGCACATAGGATAGGATTTACATATTTATCCCGGGGGACAGGAAAGCCGACCAGCGGTTACGTGAACCACCCAACAACAGCGAGGAGTCCAGCAATCCTCTCGCACATAACCATCCCTGCATGGGATTCGAACCTGCGAACCCACGCAGAGTAATTAGAGGTGCGGTGGCGAGCGTATTCCTAACGCTTAGCCCGTTGAGCCACACCGCCGTGCCTCATCCCGCATGTGATTCGAACCAACGCAAGGTAACGTAATCCGAGATGCAGTGGCGAGTATATTCCTAATTCTCAGGATGATGAGGACAACACCCAGACACCGCCGTGGCATGATGAGCCACAATGACAATGCTGCGTTATCGGCTACCGGTATCTTACTGATCTTAGTACGGTACTGCAGTACGGGGTCTCGGAAATTTAACAAAAACCTAACCTATACCTGCATAAGGCAGGCTTGAACACTGATAAGATAAGATTTTATCTCGATTCATAGGCTACTATAGCGGTACCGGTACAGCGGTAGGGTTCTGACCTGTCTTATTACTACTGTACTACGATAGGTTCCGGTACTGTAACGGCAATATCAGAATACGCTACCAGTACCGGTACAGTAACTAAACTATCGTTTGTAGCATGGTTAAGTCAATACCGGTACCGTACAGCCGTACGGTTTCGGTACTAATTATATAAGACGGGATGTATGCACAAGACCATATTGGCCTAAAACACAGATGTGCGGCATACACCCCTTTGATTTATATAAATTTTAATAGGGTAAATCTCACTGTGTTACCGTACTGTTGGTTTCCTGAAGTCAACCATATCTCTTTACAGTTTACACAATCACGATTAAATATGTTTTTACAAATCAATACAAAGACGTTATGTTATACCAGTAGATTGAAAACGTGACGAAGCCACTAAATCAGTACCCAACACATAAACATATGACTCATACAGTCATTTGTCACGTCGCAAGACCACGCGTTTACATGTGGGTGCCCAGACAACACGCGTCGATTCATTTTATCGTCCGTCATGTTAGCGGGCCTTTTATCTTGCGGTAATAATTTGATTCCTGCAGAACTACTGCTTCTCATCCTTCTACTGTTGTGCGTATCATAAATTTTATACAAGAGAGTAAGGTGGTTCACGTAACCACACGTTTCCCAACCGAGAAGAAACTTTTTTCCCCCGTGGAGGATTTTTATTGCTCGTACGATAGAATTTTCATGTATCTCAAAAGACAGCTTCATAACTTTGGATACATGAGATGACCACAAATAAGGATGCCAGCTAATTTCTGTTACAACATAACCCGGTTAAAATCTGATTTAAGTGTGTTTTTAACTTTACCAATAAAAACAACTCTTTGGCTAAAATATGTTTCATCTGAATTGAATTCACTACGACTGGGTCATTTTAAACACCAATTGTTAATAATATATTTCTTTAGTGATTTTTAAGCTTCAATATCATCTCTGTTATATTCATGTTCCTCAAATTTGTTATATACACGTATTATTCAAATGTTTTGGTCCCGTTTTTTATGTTTTATAAATAATAATAATTAGAAGCATAGGCGTTAACTAAATTTATTTACCAAGCTGAATCAGCACCGTAGTGTCGCTGCTCGAAGACCTTTCGTGATCCCTCGCGACTCCTGTCACACATATAGAGTTCGTCTTTTTTGATTTACTTTATATCTTACCATATTTCCGTGATATATTTATACTGATTGTGTTGACGAATGAATGATGATTGATTATATATATCCTTTGGGTATACAAATACCCAGTCAACTATGAGGAATGTTTGCTTTGAACTGCTGATCGATATTGGTTTGGATTTTTTCATCTTTCCATATTTTCGATCTCTACACAGATCGAAAAAATATTCAAGAAAAATATATCATTCGAATACATTTGTTCGACTTCATTGTCAACTCTCCTACGTATCCCAGTCAATAAGTGGCATTCTATTTACAATGATTTTTGACCATCACATTCTGCATTTAACCAAATTTTTGCGTTTACCATGCCATCGCCCACCCTACCCAAAACGAATTTATAACGAATATTTTTTTTTTGAAAAGCAATTTGCGGTTATACAATAACTAAACACTATTTTGCTCTGTTTACGATCCACTGATAAACCGACGTTTCTTGACTCACTATCCATTTATCTAAACCAGAGGTGACAAACCTGCGGCCCGTGAAGCATTCAGGCGATTGAGTGTATGTTTGGCTTGAAGTCATGAACCTTTAAGGACTGTACAGAGGAAGGGGAGCGCCCGTAATATTTTTTTTAGTGGCAACGCCCAATACATCTTATTACTGGCAATGCTGTTTCCTGTACATCTGTTTCCTGCTGGCAATTTCCTGTACACCTGTTTCCTGATGTCAATTTACTGTACATCTTGATTCGTTGGATCATCGATATCCGTAACAATGAATCAAAATAACCATTTTATTAGCCTAGTTACGCAGTCTTATCGGCATACACATAGGTATTAATGGAGGAGGGGACCTTACTTGGTGAAAATGTAATGTTTGGCACACGATGAACGGGACATCTAAAATTTAAAAAAAGGTTATAACTTCTGCTCAATAATTAAATTAATGGAAGCTCTTGAAAAAATGCCTAGATTTCAAAAATCGGTCAATTCCACAGGATGTATTCGTTTATAACTGCTGTATTCGGAGGCTAACGAAATACGGATCTTTTGTACAAAGCCCACGCCACTATGAAAAAATGTAAAAATTGGAGACAAACACCGATTATATTTAGTTTTGATTCGTATTTTTGAGATGTTACTAATTATACAAATTTGATCTGTTCTTGCAACACCGACTCCACTTAGTCACAATGCTACCACCCAAGATCATTTTCAAGATATCCACATTAGGAAATTCCTTGGATATGCGATAAAATATCAACGATTACAATTTAGTAGTACAACATAAAATGATTGTACTGTGATACCCCGGTAGTCGATCAAAACATTAGAGTCAAAATTGATGCTGTATTCGAAAGTAAATTCGTATCTCGAACACCCGAACCGAGCGAAGCTCGCGGTCGTGTGAGATGACGAGTGTATGCAGTTGAGAGTTTCCAAATCGTCAATTCGTTCTGATATGAAGCGCTCAGTAAAGCAAAAAAGTTTCACTAAGATAAACATGCATTGAATGTTTTATTTTATGCTGTAATATATCATCAAATAACTTCAGCTGTATGGATGCAGTTGTTCCTATTTGTTGATAAAAATTAATAGGTAACATATAGTATGACTAAAAAGTTGTGCGCCCCGCTTATCCAGCGGTTACTAGGAATGGCGGAATCGAGTCCGGATTCGATTACAGAATCGATTCTTCGCGGAATCGACTAGAATCGATTCCGATGCACCGGAATCGATTCTCGAGTTTGAAACTTGGATTGCAAACAATGTGTAACGTTTTGTGGCAATTTCTTCACATATATATATGTATAAACTGCTTCACTGCTATGTTGAGTTGCTACGACACCGCAAACTTCACTATATATAATATATATATTATAAATATCGCTAGTAGGCTTTAACGTTTATTTTTTTTTAAATCTCTGTGGGTTCTGGGGGATTCGTTTTTTTTTTGTGCGGTTTTGTCTCATGTGGCAGATTGGATACCCATACTACTTAGTTTCGGCCTTCTTGTCCGTCCAGAATTTGAACATCGCTGTCTTGCTTGATTTAATATGGTATTGCTTGGGTGGGTATATTTTTTCGGTAATATGTCGAGGAATCGAGATTCGGAATCGAATACTTGTAAGTACTCATACTTAGCATCCTTAGCGGTTACTGGTAAAATGGCCCGCGATAGCAAATGGGTTCGTCACGTTTATATTCTAAACGAACCAGCAGAGATAAATGAATTTGTACGCTTCTATATCTCGAATAAGTCATTTTTTCAACCAGTAAAACGACAAAAACCATGCAAAAAAAACTAGGAAAAATGATATTTATATTACTGGGGAAGGGAAGCCGCGGGGAACCAAAACTGGTTATCGAGCAGCGACACCCAAGGTTCTTACATATCATTCAACAGATTGGGAAGGATAGTTACAAAATTACTGATATCAATGGTAAATATCATATATGAATTTTGCAAACTAGCCAACTAACATCGATTATTTATTATATACCATAAATTATCGTGTATTAAATGACTCTTAGGACCAATTTGAATTTTGAAGGTGACCTAGCCATCAACGTAGTAACTTCAACAGCAAACCAAGTTTGCGGAGAGCTAGTTTTCAATTGTTCCCGGACAACGATTTTAATAATATAATTTGGCCTCTGACGTTTACATGAATCAATAAACTTAATTCTTTTAGAATCTTTTATAAACGTATCCCATCACAAACTATACCGCAGTGCATAATTTACCATTCACCAAATGTATAAAAGCCAGGGAAAAATATACATTAACAACGAGCGGTGTTTAAGCATCATTTGGTTCACTCAACTGATCAACTGCAATAAACTATATATATATATATCTACAAAAGTAGTAATATTATATTGTTTTCTACAAAGGCACGAGTAACCGTCGTAATATAAAAGAATATTTCAGAACCCTCAACTGGACCAGATATCTTATGTACCGAAATATGTCAGCTAGTATACCACACCTAATATATTACCTGCATATTTACAAACAAGGACTACAGCCTACAATAATGAGGTGGGCGATTCGAATATATATTTTCGTCGTGTAAAACTGATATGCGATATAAAATTAGAAATAAATAAAAGTCACAAATTACAATATTGTTTATTGCATGTCCAAGGGGCGAGGTTGCAGTTGTATTTAAGCGTAGCGAGTAAACAGTATAAGTA